CTCACGAGAGAGGACTTCGCTTGGATGCCTCTACCCTCGACCGAAACCTTGCCAAGGCCGCATTGCAACGCCTTGATGGCAACTCTACGCTCCTATTTGCACACTACAGTACCAGCTCCATTGACGGACGACGGAGTAGCGGTTGTTGATCTCCGCTCCTATCTTGCGAAGATTGACCGCGAGTACGCCACCCAAAGGTACGCCGAAACCGACGCGCCTTTGCTCTATATCCGCATTCAGATCGGAAAGGCAACGTGTAGTGCCTTGATTGATTGCGGAGCGTCTCGCAACTTTATGAGCCAAGCCTTTATGGCCCGCGCAGGTCTTGGCCCGCGCGTTCGAAGGAAGACGCAACCTACGCAAGTTACACTCGCGGACGACCGCACACAAAAGTCAATTGACCGATGCGTCGACGGCGTTCCGGTATACTTTGCGCCACTTGTGTGCGAGCCGGTGTCTTTTGACATCCTCGACACCAAGTTCGACATGATTCTAGGCATGTCTTGGTTGCGTAGCGTCGATCATCCGGTGAACTTCCATTACCGAACCGTTCACATCCGTGATCGGAATGGAGTGTTAGTCCCATGTACGGTCGCGACCCCTCACACTTGGATTGCTTGTCACGTGGTTTCCGTTGCGAGAATTCGCGACGCCATAGCTCGGAATGACGTCGAGGAGATGGGCCTTGTATTCTTGCATGCTCTCCCCTCGCCGGACGGACCAGCCGCATCACCGCCGGACCCACGCATTTCTCACCTCTTGGACCAGTATAGAGACGTCTTTGAGGCTCCCACCGGAACGGTTCCGGATCGGCCCATACGTCACGGGATCACTCTCGACGCTGGCGCCGTCCCTCCGCGTGGATGTATCTACCGCATGAGCGAAGAGGAACTCGAGGTGCTTCGCGCACAACTCGATGATCTTCTCGACAAGGGCTGGATTCGCCCTAGTTGCTCGCCATACGGTGCACCTGTTCTCTTCGTCCGGAAGAAGAACAAAGATCTACGGTTATGCATCGACTATTGCAAACTTAACGCACAAACCGTAAAGAACGCCGGCCCTCTCCCTCGGATTGATGATCTCCTTGAGCGGTTAGGCGGCGCGACGTACTTCTCGAAGTTGGACTTGAAGTCCGGTTACCACCAAATTGAAATCCAGCCTCAAGATCGGTACAAGACCGCGTTCAAGACGCGGTACGGGCATTTTAAGTGGGTTGTCATGCCCTTTGGCCTCACCAATGCCCCCGCAACTTTTCAAGCAGCTATGACGACTGAGTTTCGCGACTTGTTCGATCGCACTGTCCTCATCTACCTCGATGACATCTTGGTCTATAGCAGGACGTTGGACGAGCACATCACACACCTTCGCGCTGTTTTGAATCGTTTGCGACTAGCCAAGTACAAAGCGAACCGCGACAACTGCGAGTTCGCCAAGCAAGAGCTTGAGTATTTGGGCCACTATGTTACGCCGAAAGGCATTCGTCCCTTAGCGGACAAGATCCAAGCCATCATGGATTGGCCGGAACCCCGTTGTACGACGGATGTACGCTCTTTCATGGGTTTGGCTAGATACTATCAGCGATTCGTCGAGTCATACTCGAAAGTGGCCGCTCCTTTGTCGAGACTTCAGTCCCCGAAGGTGCCCTTCGAGTTCGACGACGCAGCCCGTGACACGTTCACTACCTTGAAGGCAGCAATGCAAGCCGCACCTGCCCTCCGTATATACGACCCCACCCTACCCATCCAAGTGACTACGGACGCTTCGGGATACGATATTGGTGCGGTGTTGGAATAGTGTCACGAGGACGGTTGGCATCCGGTTGAGTATTTCTCCCAAAAGGTGCCTCTCGTCAACACTCTCGACGACGCTAGGAAGAAAGAGCTACTCGCGTTCGTCACCGTTCTCAAACGGTGGCGCCACTTTATGGCCC